TTCACCTTCATAATAAGGGCTTATCATTATCATATTGCAAAGGGTTAATATCAATAACCCTTAACACTTATCAACAATACTGCTGTTTCAAGACTAGTTGCATGATAATTGTATATGGATATATGACTTTCCCCTTACAAACCAATGGCCCTTCATTTCAGACAGTTCACTAACTACTGTCCTATTTCGATCAGGTGTCCAGCACTTTTTTCAAAATTTGGGAGGAAAAAAATTTTCTTTTGATTTAAGCTGATTTTTGGCGAGGACTTTTTTGGTCAATGTTACGCGTAACACGAACACTTGATCAAAATGGGTGGCTTTCCATAAGAATAAAAACATTGTTTTCGAATAGAATCTATATTTTGCTGCGATGCTGGGCCTTCCATCAGGACCCCGAATCGGAGATCTCTCGCTTAAGCCTTGTAGAGGCCTCGAATAGACTGGAATCTGAACGAGGGCTAACCCCCCCCTCGTTCAGATTCCCCATCACACGAATAGACCGTTTCGGGCGAGATTTGGTCACTGTGACGGCGTTACATGTCAGCCGCATTCACTCACCCACTCTGCTCGCTCACGACGGCCACGGCCCTGCCACGCCCAAACCCAAGTCCCGTAGTCACCAGCAATATGTGGTGACCTTGATGGTCGCTCACTGTGCTCCTGATGGTCAGCCTACGCGAAGCCTTGAAACTGGCATCGACAAATTCAAGTCGCGTCGGTGGCCAATTGGGCTTATTTTATGGCTATCGGGAGCATGCCTTCCACATGGGATCGATGCTGTTCGTTTCAAAGGAGGATTTGTGGTGTTTCAGAGGAGGATTTTGGCCATTTTAGGTGAGCTGTTCCATGCTATTCCATCGCGTATCAACAACGCAGAGTTTAGGAGCCTCAAAACGAAAATTTCAGCTCTTCAGCATACTTGGCACTGCTCCGACAGGTCGCGGAGGAAAGGATGGGGGAGGGCATATATAAGGTGCTCAGATAACATGGTGCGTTGTCTATTTCCGCTGTATCTCCTCGTCTCAAAATGTCTAGTACACTGGCAGACCTTTTCGAGTTCACGAAAGTGAATGACACGGTATACTATCGTCAGAAAGGCAGTGATGCGTGGAAAGAGTATCCGACTGGCTATCCACCGCCACCTGTGCGTCTTATCTATTACATTCTTCAATTTACATCTGACATCCATTGTAGAATGTTATTACTTCGACAACCCTTGGGGGAATCCAAAAACAAAATCAAGATTATGCTCGTCATTACCCAGGTGGACCACAAGGACCAATCGAACCCGAATTTCAGGTATATTCATGTTCTCGTCCAGCCGGCGATGCTAATCTCAACTTGAGTTTGAACTCCGCCCTGTCAATCCAAATCCAGATGATATTCCAATCGACCCAGTGCTTCTCGAGCCCCAACATCGTCTTGCTGGCAACAATCCTATCCATTCCTCCCCTCGTCGCCCTCTTGACCCTGCCACTATAACAGCACTCAGCGGCCGACCGAAAACGGAGAAAGTCGGAGGTCGACGTGTTGTGGACAAAGGGAAAAAACGTGCGCGTTCCCCAGGCTCTGATGTAGAGGATGGTTGTCGTGCTCCGGACAAAGGTAAAAAACGCGCCCGTTCGCCAGGCTCTGATGGAGCGGATGCTCCAAAAACGAAGCGTGGGCGCAAAACCGGGTCGACAAACTTCAGCACTCGTGAAACCACCAAACTACTGTCAATATTGGAGGAGGTGCTGCCTGTAGGCGGAAAAGGTTGGCAGAAGGTTACGGTGACATATAACAGTTGGGCAAAGCCAAAGGGCTTTTTCGGAGCGTGATCAACGCTCGCTCGAGACCAAGTTCAAGGGGGTATGTTGTAATTCTCATTACCTACCTTATCTAATGCCGAGCAGATCCTCAAAACCAAACAGCCAACTGGCAATGCCACTCGCTCGCCCATCGTTACCAAGGCTCTCGGAATCGAAGACCTTATTAATCAGAAGGTCGGCGCTCGTGATCTCAGCGATGGCGAAGACGAAGACGACGATGTTATCGAAATCGAGTCTGACACCTCCATGTCTGATGTCGACAGTGACGATGCTCAGCTAACCGCTGTTGCACGTCGTGCTCCATCGCCATTGTTGCCCCCTCGCAAATCACGTACAAGCGCACCAGAGCTTGTGCATACTATTGCTCATGCTCTTGGCCCCACATCAACCCGGGCTCGCGAGGAGTCACGCAATCGGCGCTCGAATGAGAATGCGCATATCCTTTCCCTTACACAACAAGTCGGCCTTCTCCAAACCGAGAACAACAATCTCCGAACCCAAGTCTTTGAATTACAGCGTCAACTTGATCGTGCTGAGCTGCGCCTCGAGTTCCAGCAGTTTGCTCCAGCAGATAACAACCCTCGACATAAATCTTATCGGAAGTCTTATTCGGAGCGGCCTCATGGGGAAGACCTTAAGAAGTCTTACTATGGCTACCAACGTGTTCGGGGCCGTCTTCGGGTGGAGGAGAAGTACCGGGATGGAGGGAGAAGGACAACCTGGGTTACCGATGCGTCTTCGGATGCAACTGACTTTGACCTTCGTGATCTCAGTCGTCCGCCATCATCTCATCGACACCGCCGTAGCCCTTCCCCTGTTGCTGGCCCTTCCAACCTCTCACATGACGACAAGGCCGCACTGCCTACAGTTGATGGACAGGCAGCTGAGCTTGTCATTACCCCCCGTCGTGGCAAAGCAATGACATTCGTAGTCAGTCCTTCAAAACAGTAGATATATAGTATCTACTTACCTTAAGCCTAGTCTCTCTTCTATTCCTGTTCTTACTTCGTAGATAAAAGCATTTTAATTGTAGTAGCTACTTTCTTCCCATTTACAAAGTACTACTCGTAAACAGCAAAGTTGTGGAAGCGAGCTACTCTGTCATTACGACGCTGATCAGCAAATAACATTCTCTCAAAGTTACACCAGACTTCTTCGTCTTCCTTTGTTGTCTGCCAGATTGGTGCATAAACGGTACGGATTTGGTTATGGCCAACACGAACAGCACGAAGATTATGCAGTCGGATGCATATCTCGAGTAGATCGCCCCGACCTTGCTCATCGCTGATATCGAGTGGCATTCGGAGCCTTCCAAATGCACCCTGCAAGCTCCGCATTCCCCATTCTGCTGTCTGTCGGTAAGATAAAAGCTCCCGCCCAAATGCAATACGCTCTTCGATTTCTGTCCTTGTCCCAACGAGCTTCTGACCTGTCTTGATTGGCGCTTTAATTTTCCCTTCGATCTGGGAACCACGAGGAAAGGCAGTGTCAGCGCAAAGCCAGTAGCCATCTGGCGTCCGTGTACGGAGCTTCTCGTAAATGCCTTTGGCGACACGAGAGTCATGCCAGCTGCCTGGCGCATTGAGCCGTGCCGCAATGACAGTTCCTGGATATCTTAAGTTTGGAATGAAAAGAATCAAAGAGAGAAATATACCTTCAGGTGAGAAGCAAAGAACAGAGCTCACAAAATGCTCAGAGAGCCATCCATTGTAGGTTGCATTTTCAATTTCCATGTCAGCAGAGGTTTGGACAGGTAGATTGAGCCCGTCGATTGACGCAAATGCACCGACAAGGCGGGGATGACACTCGAGTATTAGCTGATTGTAGTGCTTGAATTGAGTGTGGGTTTTCGGCCAGCAAATCTGGGCTTCGGGAAGACGGAGAAGCAACGGTAGGAGGATTTTGAGACCAAATGTGATGTATCGTGAGACGGTGGATGGAATAAGAGCAAAAACTTGCTGGAGTGTGATTTCGCGCATCGTTGAGTTGAGAAAATGGAGTACAAGTCCAAGGGCACCTGCAGCATCGAGAGAACGACCTCCAGGACGAGGGTTTCCTGTTGCAGAGGTGTCGGTACGAGGGATGGCCGTGGAGTCCCATGCATGAGCAAAGCCAGAGTCTAAGATGTAGTCAAATGTTGCAACGTCAAAACCCATCGTAGTGATGAATGCACGGTCATTTTTGCTGTTGTACAAGACAATCCAAGGTGTCCCAGACCGAGGCTGTGGCAGAAGTTGAGGTCTGCACAGGTATAGCCTACTCTTTCTCCTCCTCTCCACTCGCAAACGCCCGTGCCTCCAATGCACCACCCAAAACCAACGCCCCAGCCACTCGAATAAGCTCTAATTCCTCGTCTTCAAGTTCCTCCTCCTCCTCCTCCATGAAATGCAGCATGAGCTGTGTGGTGAGGTCCATTAGGAATGACGCAAGAGGCAGAAACGGTCGTTTATCTCAGCGGCTGATGGATGCCTAATCGGATCACGAGACCATTTCGTCGCATCTCAAAATATCACTACGGAAGGTCCGCACTAAGAATTTCTCTCAATTTCCCATTTAGCCGACATCACTGGCACCCTCTAAGCGCTGTAGAAATATTTTATTCTTTGCGGAAAGTCATCCAATAGGACAGTAATGTCCCATTTCAAGTCACATGATGATACAATGAGTTAACCTGTTTTGACATATTCTGGCACCACAAAATCCTACTAAAAACATTTCTCAAGTCAAAAGAATGTAATAGCTAGTCTCAACAGTACTTCTGGAAACACTCTGATAGTTTGACCATATATTCTGAATATAATTGGCTATATATTCAAGATTAGTATGAATACAATTACATGCTGTCTGTAGTATGACTATATTATGTGAAATATATATTCATAATTATGACTAGACACATTTTTTTTTTTGTCTTTGAACAACATATCAGTCCATAAGAGAACATAAGGCGCATTTTAAACAATATCTCAAGTTATTTGTTCATGTTCATACCCACGAGTAATCTGAAAACTTGAACAGCTTTTTCAATGAAGCATGCGAGGTCTCCACCTGAGAGCTTACAATTCTCATCTACTTACACAACACAGAAATACAGTACCCACAATAACCCAGTGTGAAAAAAAGTCCGTTTGAACCATGAAATACGTCGGATAACTTATCTCACCAACCACCGGTAGTTTTCGCGACGCCTCATTGCGCATAGTTTCCCCGGCCATGATGTTGGCTGATAGGGTCTTCGACGCGCTCGACAACCTTGGTCATATGGACGCCATATTCCAAGTCCCGTGGTCGTTGCTCGAACGTGAGAGTAGGCTGGGGAGAGAAGATCAGCAACGCTGGCGAGCGCTACACAGATGGTACTCACTCCTGGTGCTGTGTCGATGAAACTCTCCTTGGCCAGCCGTGAGTACGGAGGCAGACCCATTAACAGAGACATACCTGCTTGCCGTTCGAGCCACTGCGGATGGGCGACATGACAAAGTTGCGCTGGTGCTGGTAGGTTGATGCGTGTGATGCGCTGTTGAGCTTGTGTCTTGCGTTGAGGGTCGAGAGCAGGCAGTTGGTGTACCTGTATACTGGCTCAGTTACCACCATGACTTGAAAGGAAAGACTGACAGTTTCGATAGCGCGAGATCCCAGACGAAGTTGCTGTAGAAGTATATCAGCTTGGAGTATGGCAACGAGGGTGGACAAGACCCACATCGCGTAATGAGGGAAGACCATGAAGCAAATAACATCCATGATACTGAATACGGCGCTGCAAAGAAGTCAGCTTCAAAGCACCGGAAGCGAAAGAATATTAACGTGATCAAGCCAGTCTGGATGGTTGCTGTGGTGGAATGTCAGCCCTACCAGGGATCGCGAGCGAAAAGCGGACAGACCTCGGATGATTTTATCGACTACGGAATCAGTTGCAGAGAAACCCGTCTTCTTCTTGGACTGCCAGCAGGTGATAAGAAGTTGAAGGTAATCAGAGAACCGGCTTACCAAGGTGAGAACGAGCGAAATAGTGATGAGCACATCCGCCACGCAGCTGGTAAGGAACCAGAGCAATGCCGGCGCATGTAGCAAGGGCTTCTTGGCGAACTTGCGGAGAACACGAATCATAACCTGGCGGGCAGTTGAGCATTGAAATTCCACGGGAACCGGAAAGCGGTAATCACGGTGGTCCAGACACCTCCCGCTACGAGGCGAATGTCAATCAGCGTTGGTCGACCGATAGGTAGAAAGACACGCACCGAAACTAGCTAAGCCTAAAAGTACGATCAGGATGGGAACCCAGACGCTCTTGGTGAGCTGGTAGATACGCCAGGCGAAGAAAAGTTGGATTGGCATTGACACCAGGACCTGCGATTGTCAGCTTCGACCTGCCTGAGGCGATTGGTTTTACTTACAATGATCAAGGGCTCTGGAGTCAAAAAGGTAATGAGACAACGATCTCGTCAGTCCCAGGTAAAAAGCCTACCGGTCATGAAAGCTACCGAGCGCCGTCAACGAAGAGCGGGAGATAGAACGATGCTAACCCACCATCGGGGAAGAAGACCGGTTTCTGTCCGTATTCCAAGATGAGCGGTTGGTACATCATGTACATGTCGAGCGCAGTGTTTGCCGTCTCCACGAAGAAAAGGAATCCAACCTGGCGACGGATTGAGTGGTTAGCAAGTACAAAGTTACTGTTGAGCCTGAGTACTGACAAAAACCCGCATCCATAACGCGTCCCTGTGAGGCCGGGTTCAGATGTTTAATTTGACCAAGAATAGACCCTAGCGTACGCTTTGTAGACGGTGTAATAAGTCAATATTTGGGTGAGAAGCACGCCGTAAAGGATCATATTGACGAAGACGCCAATGAGCATCGGCCCATATCTTTAGACTCTCAGTCAGTAAACTGACGGTCATGGAAAACGATGTCCACATACGAAAGGGTAACATTGGGCAGGGCGACAGGAGGGGCGGCCATTTTTATCGAAAGATGCTCCAACAATGGAAGATAGTGTCCTCAGCTCGTTGAAAGAGCGGCAAGTGGAGGGGGATGGATGGATGGCGTCAAAAGGCGAAAAGTCAGCAACGCAGTGTGAGCTTTTTAAAGCGTCGATGGCCTAGCTAGGGTCTTGCTACACATGGCACGCCAAGGACGGAGATGACGCGGAAGTTAGCGAGAACAGCAGCCGAGAAAGCAGATGGATATTGGACGGGGAATCGACATCCCGTGTTCCCCCGCGCCCCGGTTGACCAAATGATCGAGCGGTCCCCCCCTAAGTAATCACACGATCGCCCGACATCTCGCGTGGTAACGCCGCAACTCTTCTGTGGGGTTTAAATTTGCTAAAGAGCAGCACAAAGTACAGTTTCTCCATGAACAATACTATCGCCCATATGCAGAGGTCGATAGCAACGCTATCTAGACAAAAAAGCATCAGAAAACGACTTGCAGTGGCGGCTTCGTGACTTACTGATTGTGCGGTCGGTGACCGTTACCACCAGTCAACGATTGAATGGTTTTGAATTGAAGAAGCAGCCCCTGTAAAAGATTGGAAGAGTTCAAGAAGAGCCAAATTTGACATCCGTGAACGACTGACGGAGTGTTAGACAACATGCGACAGGACAGAGCGAAAACTTAGAGAAGGCTTGTAAATGGCAGGGCCCTTGAATGATCCAGACAGTGCTTCATCTGTAGACAGACTGAATGCACAGTGTACGATGGAGGAAGTCAGCAAAACGAAACAGGCAAGAAGATGGCCAGGAGCCCGCGAAAAAGTCGGATGCGGTCTGCAATAAAACGCGTGCATTCGCTAGTCTGATGTTGTCGGCAAACGAAGATAGCCGTATGAGTCGCGGGAAGCCATAATACAATTTCGCCACTGGCAAAAGAGAAGGTAATTGAGGCAAACGGTTGAGAAGGACTTCCTTGCTAATGCGAATGATGTCGGCCAAGATGTGTCGGATGCTTCCACAATGCTTCATTGTTGCTCATTGCTGGCGGGTCCTCGAACGCAAATCGTATGCAGTCTCAAAGGAGTTGAGCGCTTGTGATGAACTTTAGGGACCTTCTTTCTTCTTCGCCGTTCAGCAGTCATTTGGCTCGGTATCATTCAAAGAGTTAGCAACCACCAACTCATGACATCGACCCAGTCCTGGCGGTTACTCGCCTCGGTTACTGTACTTGGTGGCGCAGAAGTCGCACCCTGCATTACTGGCTGTGACTGTTGCCTCTTGCGTCTCAAGCGCTGAACTGGCAGTCGTCAAAGCTCAATTCGCATTCGAGGTGAGGAAAAGCGGAGTATTACCGGTGGTCACACTGTCACACCAGATTGATCTCCGACCAGATTGGTCTCTCCCAAAACGCATTACAGACAAACAAACAAACGCGGATGATGCTCCATTGTCGATGAGGCTTGAGCAAACCAACGATAAGCAAGGCGATATCGAAGCCTTTCATCATGTTTTCATGATCAATAGGCTTGGTCTCACTCAAGTTTCAACGTGACTTCGACGTGGCTCAGAGAACGGGATGTCATTTGTCGCTGTGAGTAACCACCAGTGACAGAATCAAAGATTGCCCAGGACTTACATTGAATTGTCCTCATCAGCACGCTCATTATCATTTCACTGGAGCATCATCTCGGCCCGTATCGTAATATCAACTTTCTCGCTCAAACTTTCACCAATCCATGGCGGAAGCCGAACCCAAGTCAAGGAAACCCAGGACTAAACGCGCGTGCGATGTGTGTCGGGCAAAAAAGCGTACTCTTGCCGTTATGCACTGTGTTGTGGAGCTAACCGTTCGTAGGGGCCTGTAAGTGTTAACGCGGCGGGCTCGCTCAAATAATGTCTTTCGACTTCAGGCGATGGACTACGCGCACCATTCAAACGATGCAGTCATTGCGCGGTAGAGAATGGCGCCTGTGTTTTCAGTCCCGACGCGCCGAAGAATCGACCCAGGTAAGCAGACTAGATCCTTGTTTCAGTGCTGATTCCTACCACCAACTTGAATAGCTACCTTGGAGTGCTTGAACAACGACTAGAGCGGAACCGAAACTACCTGAAAACGGTTCAGCCTTCCCTCTCTTTCCCGCTAGTCAGGTTGACCTTCGTTGCAGATTGGTAGCAATGATGAACTGGCGCCATTCCACCTGCCAATGCAGCAAGCGTCAAGACTTCAAACACAGCCAACCTCCGCATCAGCAAGTACCGCAAGTGCACGGCGGTTGCCTGGCCCCGGCGTTGAACTCGCTGCATTAACCATTCGATCTATGAACACAAAAGCGCCATTACCTAGTCAAGAAGATTTGGGCCACGTCGATTTGATAGAGTACATGGACGGGCTTCCTCAGGGAACGGACTACAAGCAGCGGCTGCATGGAAAATCAAGCACCGTTCGGATTCTCAAAGTCGCCGCACAGCTTAGGCAAGAGTATGAGGAAAGAAAACTACCCTGGGCAGCCTGTCGAGAGCGATACTGGCGCCACAACCCTGTGGGTTTCTCCCGGTACTAGTCCTATGGGCCGTAACTTATACTCCAACTTCAGCTTGCGACCTGTCCTGGCCGTGTAGACCGTTTCACGTTCCCCCCACCCGATCTACTTGCAGAACTGATTGACCTCTATTTTCACCACAAAAATATTTACCTTCCTGTCTTACACCGCCCCACATTCGAGCGATCTGTCACCCTCGGCGCTCATCTCGTAGACGATGGCTTTGCGCCAGTCGTGCTGCTTGTCTGCGCTATTGCCGCTCGATATTCGACCGACCCACGAGTGTCTCCTCCTGGGTCAGAGTCGCTGGATTGTGGATATGAGTTCTTCCGCCAAGTGCCAATGACTACACAGCACATATTCGAAAAACCGAGACTGTACCACCTTCAGTCGTACTGCGTATGTGCCTACTCTTGTGTCATTAAACTTGAATCACCAAGTTCAAATAGCTTGCCGCCGTATTTTTGGAATGTTCGGCTCACAGTGTTTGGTCTCTGGTTGGCATGGGTATACGAATGGCGCAAGACGTAGGCGCCCATCGAAAGATAGACGTGAACTCCAAAAGCCGGCAGCCAAGGCTGACGGTGGAGTCGGAGCTTTGGAAGAGATGCTTCTGGGCTCTGATTTGTTTGGAGCGAGTGGTTTGCACTGGTCTTGGGAGGCCGGCAAGCACACAATTCGAAGCGTGCGTGCTCTCTCCATTCACGGGCTAAGCGAAATGAAGAAACCCAGATTCGATGCTGACATGCCCATTGAATGCGACGACGAATATTGGGAAAGCGAGAACCCGGCTCTGGCGTTCACGCAGCCCGCTGGTCGGCCTTCGCTCACCGCCTATTTCACGTCATATATCCTTCTCAGTAACATCTGGGGATTTGGACTCAATATGCTCGTGAGCGACACTTCTGGTCGATCAAATTCGCTCGCTAACAGATATCCAAGTATGCTCTGAAGAAGGGCAAAGTTTTATTATCCTATCGGGACTATGCATGGGAGCAAAAAATCCTGAGTGAGTTGGACTACGCTCTAGCGCGATGGGTCGCCTCAATTCCTGCTCATCGTAAGTCTTTCCTTACCCGTCATGCATTTTTTGAATCACGGCCAGTACGATGGAGCCCAAACATCCGAGACGAAAAGTTCTTCTACCAGTCCGCCACCTTACATGCGTATTACCATACGGTGCAAGTCACGATCCATCGGCCATTCATACCGACGTTTCTGAAAGACCCTGGCGCGAAGGTGTGCGACTACGGTTCTGTGCCTGTTGGACTCAAAACCGGTAGCTATCGAGCGATATTCCGTCCCTTGCCATTTGCACAAACGCCGGGCGCTCGTTCAGCCACGTTGCACAAGTAATAACCCAAAGACAAAACCCATCCCCAATGCCTTCACTTGTAGTGGGTGCCTCTTCTGCTCTATGAAGTACTTTACCGAGCGGAGCTTTTAGTCCCTCACTTTCATATGCGGGCTTGTTCTCGTCCTGAATGTCTGGAGCGGCAAGCGGACCGGTCTTCCGCCTTACATGAATACCACGACCGAAGAAGTCGCCAAATGCATGAAGCTTCTGCTTCACTGCGAAGAGAGGTGTGCCACCGTCCTTATCGCTTCGCATCGCCTCTCACCGGAGCTTAGATGGCAGTCCGCTGGCCTTTTTTGGTCTGTTCTGCCGACCCAGCGTTGTCTACCAAAGTTGACCCTGTTCAGGGATCTGCTGCACGAGCTGGTGGTACTTAGCGACTCTGTAGCTCCGCTCACACCCACGAAATCTTTCCCAGCCGAGTCGAGCAAGAAACGCAGCTATGTCGCTAAACGCGATCACGTGACCGACGCGCCTGGCCACATCGTATTCAGTCCTTTCGAGCGGAACGCTCAAAATTATGAGCCACAGGAGCTAACAGAGACATCGAATATACCAAGTCATGAGTCGACTGTTGGTAATACTAGCACATGGTCAACTCAAACCTCCCGACCGGGAGCTCCGGAATTCCAAGTTGGACGAACAGCGGATGTCGAAGAGATGAAAGAATACCCAAGAACCTCTCTACAAGATCTGGCTCAAGTATGGGCTGATACGCCAATGACTTTGGAGTGAGTGACACCGCCAGTAACCAAAGTGAAATGGCTAAAAAGAACAAAACAGAATGGGGGACTGGAGCGCTTATTTTAACACGATGACCCAGCGAGTGGGCTGAACGCAAAAGCATTTGATCGGTTCATTCGGAATGTGTGTGTGTGTGTGTGTTGATGAGTATTACTTGTGCCCAGAGTCCCAAAATAGAGCGGTATACTGCATTGTTTTGTCCCATCAACTCCCTCATGCCACTGTGAAGCTTGACGACGTGCCCGTGAAGGCGGATATCGAGCCGATGAACGGCTTAGAGTCGCCAAAGTACTTGAGGCGATAGGTACCAGCTACCTTTCCGTCAGTTTTGCGTTGCGGAAACAACAAGAACACTCACCCGGCGTCCCAGCCTCGATGGTCCAGTTGAGAGTAACGGTGCTGGTAGCGAGAATCGTGTTGATGCGAAGCCATTGGAAGGTCGTCGAGGGATGCGAGTCAGAACGGACCGCTTTCCAGCTACCGCCCGTCTGTTGCTCGACGCTCATGAAAGTCTCCTCCAAACGAAGGTTGTTTCGTGGGTTGGCACCGACGAACTGGGCAGAGACGGTTTGTCCAGCAGTGTAGGACCTGTTGGTTGCGACATCGACCAAAACCTGCCCGAAACTCTGTCCGATAGGGGCGGCATCGAAAACGACGCCGGTTTGGAGAGAGATGGCAGAGGATTGTAGTTCTGGTGGGGCAGCGTCCGAGGCAGGCTTCCCTGTCGGGGAGTCGGCAAGGAAAGGAACAAGGGAGGTATATTTGTCAATATATGCATCAAGAGTGTTTGGCCCATAGATCGTTGAGGCACCCTCGTAGCGTTGGATAGCATACTCTTCACGGGTTGTGATATAGTGTCCGTAAGTATTGGCAGGACCCGCAACGACAACATAAGCGCTGTTGTCGATAATCTTGTTGGAAATGAGGGCGGAGCGAACAGCGTTCCTCAGACGACGACCAGCCATAGTCGTAAGCTCACCTAAAAGACAATTAGCAAGTGCATTCAAAGGATTTCAACGACTTGCCAGGGACAATGACCATGACGAAGTTACCGACCTTCAGTAACTGGATATCCACGGTGCTGGGGGACCAAGTGTAAGGGAAAGTGGCGTAGCCCTGGAAGGTGAATAAGCACATTAATTGACGAAGCAGAACATGATTCCCTACAGTGTTGAGCAAGATTGGTTTTGGTGCATGGCATGCTCTCTGAGCAGCGTTAGGAAGCGGGGTGACAAAGCCCTTGACAATTTCCCATAAAGGATTTTGCGTTGTCGCGTTGTCGCCTTGAATGAAATCCAGAGCTCCAGGACCATCACTAGCTCTAGCATAAGCAATACTGCCCAAAATCGAAAAAAAGGTCCATACGTGGTTCCTCCTGCAAACGAGTAACCCATAGCGGGAGGGCAAGTTGAAGCTTTGCTGCCATTGGGAAGAGTGAACGTGTGATTGGCCATGTTAAGGTGAATGTGAACGCTGCGGACAGTCCCCGCAACAGACGAGAGTTGCTTGTTCATGATGACCTTGGCCGCGTCTGCTTGGGTCTGCGCAATCATCATGTTGGAGTGGAATCCATACGAGTCAAGATTAAATCCAGGACCACGGCCGTGACATTGCTCAGCGGTACCGCCACAAGTAGAAGAGTTGGCTTGACAAGGCTGGCCATCGTAAGGTTTACCAGGCGACTCGCAGAAAGCGCCGAGGCTAATATAAATCAGAGTCGGAAACGAAGAACAACATGAACGGACGTGTTTGGACTAGTGTCTCCAACATTAGCCTGAGCGAATCCAGCGACGAATGTTTGCTGTCCAGGCATTGCGTTCGGCTCGACAGAGGCTGAAACGAGAGTGAATGTAAGAAGATGGTAATGCTAGTGACTGACCTTCGTATAAATAAGCTGCCATGCCCTTGTTGTCTGTACTAACGAGCGTGTTGTTCTCGTAAATGCTGGTCCCATGTACTGGGAAGAAAGAGAGGAAGCCCCGGTCAGCTCCAAAGCTGAGCAGACTCATTGACGTGTCTTGGTCGCCGCCTTCGTTGACGTATGAGTCTCGTTCGGCCTGAGGGTTGGCCAGATATGCGGTCGGACTGCGGTTGCGATTTCCACCGACGACGGTCGTGTTCCCAACGCCCAGTGTGCCGGGCTTAAGGGAAGCATGGGCACGGTCAACAGCAAGCACAACACCCTGAACAATCGCGTCGTAGCTTTGCTTCACGAAGCCCAGAGCGGTAAGTTGGGGGAGTAAATTCTCGAGGTAACCCCCAACGCCACTGTGTTGATGTGTGCTCGAAAGCGCGAAGTTTGTGGCGGTATATAATGACCCATATTTGGAGGCAAGTTTGGCCAGTATAGCTCGTCGAATGCCCGTGTCACCCATCGCAATATCAGCATTAATGAACACCACTCGGTTAGTCGTGTTTCCGGTCTCTCCGATGATGAAAGCGCGAGCCCGTTGCCGCTGGTGAAGTCCGCTGTCGGTTTGAGGTAGACTAGCGTAGCCCATCTATAAGAGAAGAATGAGAACATAAGCGGAAAAACCAAGAGGATAGCGCACCATGTTCGTCTCCACAACTTTTTTCCGTTTCAATCAGTAAAGGGGTCGCCAGAAATAGACAGTAAACATACCAGGGCCCGTGATGTCAGCGATTCCCAACCCAAGAAGATACTGCGATTGAGCGACAGCATTGTGGACTGCGGCAGCGAGGACTAGGAAGGAGGGAAGGAGGCGGACCATGACGGAGGAGGAAAGGAATGGTACCGCGACTCACCTGCACTGACCTAAAATGAGACCAACTTTGATGGAAGGTAGCCGATCCCGTTGAGACACATGGTGACCTCAAGCAAGAGGTGTCAAATTCGGGCGTCCAGCCTATGCGAGATCAAACGTAAAGTTGATGGCGGCCGGGACCGGCAGGCTTGATTTGGGGCCACCGGAGGCGGTCCGGAGCTCAACCAGAAATGACATTGTTTGAATAACCTATTGGAGGAGACAAAAGCCCAGCACTAGTGGTTGAACAGTCAAAATGTCCATAATTTGGACTAACTCACATATTTTTGGTTGCTTCAATAGGTAACTGGTGTGGTGAGCCGGCGATGGATGGCGGTGCGCCGGAGCTGCCAATCAAATTTACGTTTGATCTCGCATAGGCTGGACGCCCGAATTTGACACCTCTTGACCTCAAGGGTGAGACGTACAACTGTATTACGGTTGTTCATGTGCTTTGCTGTTGGTCTACTCATTTACTTATCCAAGTCCAGGAAAAGAGATTCACCGTTGAGCGCGCATAGCGAAAGAGGTACACAAAACCCTGCCATTTCCCAGCCATTTCTATAAAAGACTGTAAGCTTAGTTCATGAGCAAAGGGTTCGGAGCAGCTTACGAGCCCGATAACACGTCATGGTGTCACATGAACAACGCGAATATGGCTCGTCTTGCATTCGACTTTATAATCGGGCTTGAAACACTGCAATTTTCCGGCATTGAGAGTTGTGAATCTCGAGGCACCGCCGAAAAAGTCGTGTAAGGTGGTGTATCGAACTCCAACCCTAACTTGAGACTGAAAATGTAAGGATAACACGCCAAGAAATATGGTAACCACACGATCTATTCCACATGGTGGGGTTGATGCGGGGCCCCAGATTCTCAATCCTCAGCGCGACACACTTGCTAGCTAGTATGTATCGTCAATGCGACTGGATTCCCGAGAAATAAAACAGGCCATTTCGCCACTTCTCGTCGCCAACACAGAGGACTGAAGACAAGAAGGGTGACGACTGATGATCACGTGAAGCGTGACTCACTTAGATTCCTACTTGACTCCTGCTTGACTCCTGCTTGACTCCTGCTGTTATTCGGCACCGTCACTTCTATAAAGGAGCACCTCTGCAGGGCTAGCGCTCTTACAATGGCGTCTTTCAAGCTTTCAGCCACCGAACATCGTAGGACTTATTCGTTCTTGCTGTCGACTCGCTCATCTCTTCCCAGCAATCAAAGCGGTGACAGTCTACAAATCGTCTCGAGCTGAAGTCGTGCGTGTATTCCCTCTCAAGCTCCAGGTAGCTATAGCTTTACTATGCATCATTGTTATTAAACATCAATACCATTTTCTTCTCTCCGTCACAAGTCCGGAAACACCAAAATCGACATTACTGAGTTGCCGAGTTGCATTGACACTCATTCTGTCCGAGTTTCCGGTCTTGGGGAAGCTAGGTTATTCGACGTCGTGTGTACGACGCGCAACAAAACACCAGGCACCAAACCCACAGAAGCTATTCAACAACTTCGCGTTCAGAAGACAGCGTTGCAGGGCGAGAAACGGGTCTACGACTACGAGTCAGATTTGCTCGTTTCCTACGCGAAAACCCTCAAGGGCGAGCATGTCTCTCCATCTCAGATGGGGGTATTCCTGCAAAGCTTTGTTGAGTCGGGCAAGCGGAATCTGGTGGCAGTTGCAGAGATCGACGAGAAGATTGCCGACATTGACCGTCAACTAGAGCAAGAGCTGGAGAAACAGGCGGTCAAAAAGGGGGATGCGACGGGTTTAGTGACCGTGGTGGTTGGGACTGATGTTCCTGTGAGTGTCGAGCTCAAGTTGACCTACAGTGCGTGTGCGTTTTCTGTCCTTGTCCCTCTACTAAATTCTGGTAGTCGTCAGCAGCGCATCCTGGTCCAGCACCTACGAACTTCACGCCTCCACCGACAACGGAAAACCTTCGTCAGCCGTCACGCTGCATTATCGCGCTCGAATTACCCAAAGCACCGGCGAAGATTGGAGCGATACCGCCCTGACATTGAGCACCGTCGATGCCTCCACCATGGTCCGCAACATCCCCTACCTCAGTCCAATCAAGATTCGCCCTCAGAATCGGGGGTTATTCTTCACCCAGAAGAACAACAACGCCGGCCCCATTTTCGGTGCTCCAAACCAACCACCTCAAGTCCCAGGCATCAGCAACGTCCATAAAACTCCCGCAGGTCTTATTCCTGCGGCCTTCAACGGAAATAGGGGCAGCAATGCTCTGTTTGGAACCCCTTCGCAAAGGTCCGCTGCAATCAATCCCACATTCCGCTATTGACACAAAACATCATAGTCTTTTTGGAAGCGGCACAAGTACTGCATCCGCTCAGCAAACCACTGGAGGGTCCTCTGATCAGGGACAAAGGTCAGTTTTTGCAGCGTCTATGCAACTCGTAAATGAAGAAGATCTTTTAGTTTTGGCATCACACAAACCACGCAGCCAGCAAGTGGGCTGTTTGGTAGCGCACCGACAGGTGGGCTTTTCGGAAGCACACAATCGGCCACGACTGGCGGTCTTTTCGGAAGCACACAATCGGCCACGACTGGCGGTCTTTTCGGCAGCACACAGCCGGCTACGACTGGCGGTCTGTTTGGAAGCACCCAACCAGCAAACGCTGGTGGTCTTTTTGGAGGGGCAGCCCCCGCTGCACCAGCAGTACTTGCATCACAACTCGCATCCACCAGTCTCCACGACTCCGAGATAACCGAGGAGTTTGAGGAAATCGCTATTCCTGGTGCTCAAGCGGGTCCAACGACGATCGTCACTGAAACTCCTCTCGCTGTTTCTTATGCTGTTGAAGGAACTACCACCGTTCCGAGCGATGGAACGGCCCATCAAGTCGCTGTTGCCGTCCTCCCATTCGAAGCCAAAATCAAGCACATTTGTACCCCCAGAATTGATGCTCGTGTCTATCTGCAATGCAACGTGAAAAATACGAGCGAGTATCGTCTGCTGCCTGGCCCAGTTACTGTGGTTCTCAATGATAGCTTCGTTTCCAAGACCTCCATCAATGTAGGCGAAAATATTTTGTCGGACATCATCCACTTACATTTCTTCGCAGGAAATCGCTACTGGAGACACCTTTGCATGCACGCTCGGGGACGATGCTGCCGCCAAAGTCACATATTCGCGCAGCTCCAAGACCAAAAAGCTCGATTCTGGCTCGTTCGCGGAATCGCTCAACAGCACGACGTATACTACGAAAATCACCATCCATAACAAGCACCCTTTCGCCCTGACCGATCTTGTCGTTCGGGATATCGTGCCTACCAGCGACGACACCAGAGCCAAGGTCTTGCTGCACAAGCCTGCTGGTCTGGCAGATGCGAAGGATGGGCAAGTTGTCAAGGTCGATAGTGCGAGCCTGAGTGGCTTGACGGTTCGCTGGGGGGCTGGCGCTGACGGGAAGCCAGGCGAGAAGGAGGGCCGTATTGAATGGGGCTGGAATGTCGAACCAGGCAACAAGGCGGTTTTGGAGGCGGAATGGGAGCTCAAGGCGCCAGCAGATGTCACCTGGGTTGAGTATATGCCGTTGTTCGGTGCTCAGTGGCAGTGAATTTGACATTCCAATGGCTTGTACTTACCTACCAGTAATCTGCGTGTAACAAATGACAATTGAAAGAGCCTCTGTCGATGTCTCACTTTTTCACAGTCAACGGAAACAATATGTCGTGCTAACAAGCTATCAGTAGGTGCAAACGCGTGCGGGACTTGATTAGTGGTAATGCTCCTCCTCTTCTACCTATCAGGAAGCCACGTAGTCGAAGCATTTTACATAAATTGGTGTCGAGCCAGATCATTTCTTCAAGCCAGTTTTACATTGGAATACCACGTATGTACATCTTTGAGCTCAATGCAGCTCAACTACAGCCTTCTTTTCTTCCAAGATACGCTCTACAAATCGCTGCTTTATGATTTTAACGTCTTCCGGATCTAGATCTTCACCCAACTCGATTTGAGAGCCTCCAAAACTACCAAGAATGTCGTCAAATGCTGCGCGAAAAGCCGATGTCCCTCGGTCATTCCCTCGCAACGGAACGACGGTCAGTCTATTCGACCAGCCTGAAACACCGCCGCCGCGCAACAAATAGGGCAGGTGGACCTGATGAAGCTGAAAAGACGTATTCGATGCTTCAGCACGCTCTGCACGACGGTTGAGATGTTCACATGCAGAAGAAGTCCACTCGTCGACCTGTGTGTTTTCCAAGCCGCGCTCTTTGACCGTCACTTCTACGCTGTCATCACTTCGAATAGAATTGAAATTAAAGTGCACAACGACTCGCGCCAGATTGATTCGTGGATTCTTCAGCATCAAGTCAAAGTACTTCTCGTAGATGATAGACTTGTGGTGCTGATATTCGCGGTCAAGCAGGTCTCGCATGTAGCAACGTTGACGGAAGCCATGTGTCGCTAGTGCTTGTCCGTGAGAAGCACATACATAAGTAGACTTCAAAGAAAATATACCAAGCCCAAGCGATCGTCCTCCACCGTGACGGCAAAGTTTCTTGTGCAGTTTCCAGTCTTCACGTTGGCAGTCGGTAGAGCAATACCAGGCGTCTTTGCATTCTTGACACCGTCTAAACTGCGTCCGATTAGCCACCAAATGACACTTTTTGACAGTCAGCTTCAAGGTCCAGATAACGAAAAGACAAGCACCAAAAGATTCCCGCATATCTTTGAGGTTGCCGATAGATCGAATAGTTGCATGGCAGACAACCGGTCCTCCGCGACGTCAAAAAACCTCTTCCACAGCTCGCTGTCATTACTCGCCAGCTCAGCTTCTGCGACAAGTTGCTTCGCGTGAGCCAGTTCTTCTGGCAGATGTTGGATGGCATAAACGTCAAGCAGCATGGGCAACATGAAAGTGCGAAGAATGCGGGCCACGGAGGCTTGCAGCTCGTCAATGTCGCTCAGATGGCGCGCACAAAGGGCTAGAATGCGAAGGAGACGAGACCCAAGAGTCTTTTGCGACGCCCCATAGAGCCCAGGACTAAGCATACTGACTCTAACGATTAACCAAAAAGCCCGAGATGTGATTTCAACGAGTCTTGGATGCTCTACGTGAGCCTCTGACTGTATCCCAGACGTGATGAAGAGGCAGAGAGTATCAACAACATGATCGATCAGCCCTTCTTGGACGGCGACGAGAGTGATAGAACTGGGAGAACTAATCATCGGTTTTGGCTCCAGTTCGCCGATGTTGTCTGTCCAGTCTAGAAACATCAGAAGGCTTTCGGTGTGTTGAGGGTGGATAGCTAGTTTATCGACGCTTGCGACAGTCTTCATATATTCGGAAAGCATTGACCCGAGGGAGTGAACTGTGCCCCCCGTGCCTTCTATTATTTCCTGCAAGGCGTTCGGCGCGGGGAAAGCGCTTTCCGAGAGGAAATGCACGAAAATGATACTGAACACGCGAGCCAACCGGCCCTTCTCGCCCTCATCGTCTCTTGGCGTTGGCCCGCCAGTTAACATGGTGTTACACCATGCTGCCGCGATAATCGTTCGAAAGCCTGGTGTCATTAGCATCAGACTGTGGCTCTCCAATGTGAGGCTCAGGTGAGAGCTGAAGATGATGAAGTTCTGGAGGAGGCTCGCTTTGAAAAAGGAACGACACTCAGGTCGAAGGTCGAATTGATCTTGGAAGAAACAGACCCATGGCCATACACAGACCCACAGTGCCGCGTAAAGGTCGTGGGAGTCTGGAAGCTCGGTCATTTCCACCAGGAAGCACACCGCGTAGAGAGCATGCCAAGCGTGTTCAATGCCGCTTATCCATTCAGCAGCCAGTTCGTCAACAGAGGGAATACGGATGGAGCGGAGAATGGTATAGAAGACGGGGATGAATGGCGCACGGTCGGCCTCGTTGATGTTTTTGAGGACATTGGCGGCCGCCTCGACACCTGCGGTTGTCCGCTCTGGAACAAGTGCCCTCTTTGCGTGGAGCTATCGACAACTCTGTCAGAAGCGGTAGACCGGTCTGTCACGCATACCCGGAGCCGGAAGGGCAGCTTTTCAACATTTTCAACACGGAGCAATGGGTGAAGCCGTGCCATGAGAAAAAAGACAACAAAACGATGATGACGATCGGCCTGAGAGTCTCGTCACGTGCTATGGTCACAAAAAAAGCCTGTCCGGGTCCTTGCTCTTCAGAAGTGTGCCGGTCCAGGAAGATCGTATCGTTTACCACTGGAAAATGATGGACCGGTACACTTCCTCACAAACCAGACTCGCATTGCCCTAGCCGAAGGACTCCGAGTACGACTGATGATTTCGATGTGACGGCGCCGTGACAGGGCCAGCTTCTGCCAGAAACTATGAGCATTTCTCCAGTTCCAGATCTTCTGCGCACCAATTCGATTCCATCCCCGGCTCAAATTGAGCTTATCAACGCCTTCATTTCCCTCTCAGAGCCGGAACTTGGAACATTGGAGACGGAGTTTATTCGCATCCAGACTTCGCTTGCGGCGGCCAAGACGCGACTTGAGAAACAAAAGCAGCTTGTGGAAGACCATCGGGTGCTCCTTTCGCCAATGCGGAGAGTCCCGGATGATGTCCTCCGCGCTATCTTCCTTGCGACGCTTCCCGCGCATCGAGATACTGCAATTGTGCCTGAGGAAGGGCCGCTTTTGCTTGCCCAAGTTTGTCGACTGTGGCGGGACATTGCTCTTACAACACCCCGTCTTTGGGCATCCATTCATCTTGCAATTCCGAGAGACGAGTCGCGGGCAGAGGACCTCGTTGGAATTCTGACTACTTGGCTTCAACGGTCCGCTGCTGCCCCACTATCACTCACAGTGACCTTGGCACACGCTTCCATGTCTCCGCCTCATCTGGGGCCTGGATGGAGGCATACGACACATGGGGATGAACTTCTTCGCGTCCTCAGTTCTGAGGCTCACCGCTGGGAATCCCTGCGCTTGTTAGACAAAATTGACCTCTCAAAAGTGCCCTTTATTTCGTCCCTCACGGCAGAGAGTGTGCCAAAGCTGCGCCATATTTCCTTCTCAGAGGGAAATCGCACCTGGTCGCACGTGGGAGATGTTGAGGCATCAACATCCAACCCTCTTCTGCTTCTCGGGACAGAAAGTCTTCTTACTCTCTCTTTGGATGGATATACGCACCTTCTACCCCCATTCATTCCTTGGGCCAAGCTCCGCCATGTGTCGCTTGATACCCCGTACACATATGGCATAGCGTCGTCTGTCACCTTTCCGCTGGCCATTCTCGAGATGTGCTCGGCGCTGGAGGCCTTTGCGTTTTCGTCCGGACATGCCGAAACGGTGATTTTGCCGCCAATCCCAACGACACTTTCCTTTCCTCGGCTGATAGCCCTCGCCATCGAAAGTTTCACCCCCGCGAATTGGACAGATCTCCTACAGCGTGCCCATTTCCCCCGCCTCCATGCGCTGGGAGTCTTGGGCCTTGCCAACGATCTCACCTGGCTCGAGCCTAGAGCTATAACCGCTCTTCACCTCACCGAGAACACACTGAAGACGGACGACCTGGTCAAGGCACTCGCAGCGCTTCCCACACTCGAGGAGCTGTCCATTGGGGGCGAGCCTTACGACGCAAACCAGAACCAAGAATCAGACGCAGACTTCATTGGGCCCAAGCGCGACGCAAAGTTCCTCCATCAGTTCATGCTGCCAATACCCCTCTGCCCGCGCCTCCAACGCTTCCGTCTCTACGTGATTTCCGCCTGCTCCGACCACACCCTCGTAGACTTCCTCCGCTATCGCTGCAACCCCACAGACAGCTCAATGACCGCGCTTGTCTGTGCCGACTTCACCATCGTACGAAGCAACATGTACAGCAAAGACTTCTCTGCGCAACTTGCAGCCGAGGTCGCCAACGGCTTGCGACTTTCGGTCACACTGATCCAGCGAAACATGCCCACTCCACAGTACAATCCCAAATCAGGGCTTCATAATGAAAGACCAGAGACAGGGTTTGTCTTCGAAAGAAATGGTACTGCTATCCACATCTGATCTCTGATACGACTTGAAAGGGTACATAGATTGTGTCCGATAAGGATATGACGTGTAGCTGGTGCGTAAAATAAACAACGAAACGGCGTCCAGGCCCGATTATAAAGAGTAAAAAAAGTTCGCGTTCCTCATTCCTCACCGACCCGACATCCCGCCCTTGGCGTTGGCTGAAGCTTGGCCTTGATGGCCGCATTTGACACTGAGCTCGATGGAGACAGTGGACTGGGCATCTCTGAAGAAAAAGAGGAAGACGGCGTTGTTGGAGGACTTGATTCAGGCTCAGTACTTGTCATGATATCCTCCGAAACTTGCGACATCCTTTTTGTCACAAACGAGAACGACGAAGACGCAGATGAAGAGCAAGAAACATTGTAGGCGGTGAACGCCATGACTGGGGCGCTTTCCATGACTGCAGTTTGGGTGGCGCGTGGAGTTGCTTGTTCGTCGACAGTGGTAGCTGACGGAAGTTCATCGTTGACCGAGAAGCGTGGTATTTCGTCCACTGAAGATCTCATTTGAGCAATTGTCGGCCTGCGTCTCGGGTCCTCTTCGAAACAGCGCTTGAGGAGTGCATTTGCTTCACGGGTGAGCTTCAATACTCGAAAGAGATGATTGTTGTTGCCACGGAACTTGGCGTAGTTTGGGTCCACCATTTGCGCGCAAGACCACGGATGGCGGCCAGAAATGAGGTTGGTGAAGATGACGCTGAGGGCCCACAAGTCGCTTGATCGTGCAGAATAACATCCTTTGGGGTTCGTGCGGTCCAACGACTCTGAAGAAGAAGATATTAAAGATGGAGAAACTTGTAACGCCAACAACGCACCAGGACTCATGTAAAACCTCGAGCCACACCCAAACTCATTCGAAAAGTCTATTTGTGTGGCGAGCCCGAAGTCGGCGAGTCGAATATTGAGTCCCGATTCGTCGCAGAGAATGTTTTCAGGCTTGAGGTCACGGTGGTAGATACTATTGCGGTGAAGGAAATCAACAGCATCGAGGATTTCGTGGAAGACTTGTTTGATGAGAAGAGGCTTGTAGCGGAAGATTTCGCGGTCGACAAGTGCAGTGAAAAAGTCGCCACCAGGAATATAGTCCAAAACGGCGAAGGTAAGCTCCTCGCTGGCGAAGACACGATGAAGGGCGATGACTTTTGCTCCGCTACTGGCCATCTTGTGCAGTCTCAGCTCGTTGCGCTGGATGCGGTCTGCCCGCGACTTGTGTTCGTGTCGACGCATACATTTGACGGCATAAAATCGAGGTTGGTCCGGTGGCGAGGAGGTATCGAGTGCTTTGTAGACCTGGCCATAAGCTCCAGTGCCCAGAATGGAGAGCATTTCGAGTGAGCCACTGTCGACGAGCTCGCCGGTGAGATCAGGAAGGGATTGCGAACGGTCCATGGGGAAGCTTGAGTTTGTGCGCAGCACGAAAAGGCGAATTGGAAGTGTTTAGGATGTGAAGTGAACTTTGAATTCAAGGACGATGGAAACTTCTGAGAAGGAAATGGGACATGTCACACTCTGACCGTGGTGACATGTCCTGATTTGTCGGTTCAACGACCCCGACGGTCCAAGATACAGGACGGCCTTGATACGACTGGTGGCATTACTGCTCGGGAAACAGAAGCCTTGTAGAACCCCAGTCCCCGGAAGCCTGACCAATTTCAGTGTTAGGTGGGTTTCAGGGTCTTCTTGGCGTTGTGCTAATCTCGCTAACTATCCCGACTCAGGCCGACTGTCATTCAAGGATCTTATCATTGAAATGAACAGCCAAGACGATTGCAGGACGAGCTGACCAGTCAACACTCTCGGTTGAAGCAGTCCTCCTCCTCTCACAACCTTGAATCGACTCGAATAAGCCATGATTTCCCATCTTGAAACGTTGATCAGGCCGGAGCACCATTGGAGCCTAGGCTTCAACTCGCCACAAGCCGAGGTCGATCCTAACCGTGACAGCGCCTCTATCATTGGCTCGATGTATGGTCCGATGAGGCGGGCACCGTTGGCCGGCAAGGGTGTTGGCGTCTTCGTATAAAAAAGGCACTACACCTCTAACCATTTTCCAGGCCCTTCAAGGATCTCTTCAGCATGCGTTCCTCTCTGACGATTCTCTTGACTCTCGCGGCGTTTGCCCTGGCTTCACCTTCTGGCCTCCATACCGATGGATTTGAGAAGCGCGCTGCTGACGACAACATCGTCTATGTTACTGACGCAAACTTGCATTGGTGCGTGAACTGGCAGTCATGCGCCATTCTCCCTCAACGCTATCACAGCATGATCATGCCTCGGGACCCCCACACCAACATTGGCGACAGTGAGCACCCTGGGGGCATGAAAACATATTGCTCTCCGGCGGGGAAGTACTCTTCCTTGCAAGGCACACTTCCCTCCAACTTCTGGAGCAATGTCGAATTCAAGACTGGATACGGAAGGAATGGTGGTCGCTTTGCACAGCGTGTGTTATACGATTTCATCCCGCCTTCCAAGAGGACTAATGGCTGGCTCAGTAACTGGATGTATCCGACCTGAAACTCTCGATCGTCTGAACCCTAACGATGGTGGAGGTCAATACGATTCTAGTGGAGGTGACGGTGGACAAGGAAACCCGCGAGGATCCGTCTGCCTAGGGTAATATCTCGCTCTTCCATATTTGCCCATTTCCTCACTCGAATGCGGCAGATATAAACATTACGTCGAGCTTGTTGAGCCTGATGTTCGACGAGCTTGCATTAAATGCTGCGACGACCCGTCTGAATGTCCACTCGACCGAGGTGACGAGAATACTTCCACGCAACGCTATCGCTCACAGTTCTTTTAGATCAATCCGGCTGCCCAGCAGTCATTCAAGGCAACTACTTTAACTGCAATTGAACTTGGACACATTAGCAAGGACTATCATGATTTTCGGACTTGGGTTAATGCCAAACATCTTATGCACCCTTACGTTTCCTTGCTGATACAAATGCTTAATGAACTGTTGTACAACTTACTGCTAATATCCAAGCTGCTATCGTACTGAAGCTTATTTGTTTGCAATACCAAGCATCTCTTGCACATCTGAATCTCCGCGTGCACGTGACAGTAAAAATCTCTCTCTTGCTTCTCTCCGGTTTAAAATTCTCAAGTCCTCAATCAACCAGCGTTATCTTTGGTCCAAAACCAAAAATACTCTCCCTGCGGAACCTCCGAAGGACTTCCTCCCAAACAACGAAGACCATGAATTGTGAGATATGATTGGTTACTCCGGTCGTCGCCTGAGGTCAAAGTCAACAGAGCGGGTCATGCGGAGATCCTTCTATGCTGTCATTGTGGCCTCGTGGACAACGACCGACTATTCATAAGAGCGGGGAGCGTGTCGTCACCAGAGATATCATGCTTCGCAGTTCATGGGGACTGTTGTTGGCGCTGCCGCCAGCTCTACATGCTGCTTTGACGACCGTCACACTCGATTGTGGGTCTCTTGTTCATATATCACCTTCTCGACTCTCATTATCCTTCCTAGACGGTATTTTCAACGGCCTTGCGGGCGATACTCAAGGAATTGTGTATTTCAGAGGCGTTCGTTATGCGGACCCACCTGTTGGAGAGTTACGTTGGAGGGCGCCTGTAACGCCACCCACAAGTCATATTGGCACAGTCGACGCGAGTCAAGTAGGTATTCTACTCCACTCCCAAGGTCAAGCGTTGACTGGGGCTAGTTTGGTAGCACGTGCATCGCAAACACACAGACCTCAACGACACCAACTACGTCGGAGGACTGTCTTTTTGCGAATGTGCGTAATCGTTATCTATCCAGGGTTTGCACTGAAACCGTTGTGTAGGTTTATATCCCCATCAACACCACTGAAAAGAGTGCTCTCCCCGTCCTTGTTTACTTCCACGGGGGCGGGTTTGAGGTAGGCAGCAGTCGGGACGCTCCACCAGAAAACATCATTCAAGGCTCTGCGACGCCGTTGATCTTTGTGACCTTCGAATATCGGCTGGGGCAGTTTGGATTCTTGGGTGGGGAGGCGGTGAAAATGAATGGTGACTTGAATGTGGGGTTGTTGGACCAGGTGAGCTTCTCGGCAGCATTGCTCGGAATGCGTGTCAATATTGCCAAGAAAGCCGGTCTCGAATGGCTTCAACGGTACATCCACAAGTTTGGTGGTGATCCAAAGTCCGTTTTATCTACCTGCCCCGCGTTACACTAAGCGTGCTATCAGACGGGTCACGATTTGGGGCGAATCGGTATGTTGCCCATTGTCTTTGAGGAGATACTTCAATATCTATGACTGCTTCTTAGGCAGGTGCGGGATCGACAATGTTCCAACTAATAGGAAATGGAGGCAAGAACGCCAACCTCTTCCGTGCCGCGATGGGAGACAGTCCTTCTCTGAACTTTGCTCCGGACTACAACTCGGATTTCGTCCAGGGACTTTTTTCGCAATTTGTTGGTTTTGCGTGGGCTCTGCGTTCTTCACTCCCACCCGCAGCTAACGACAACTAAGCGGATGCTCCGATTTGAATAGTGCACAAACCATGTCGTGCCTCCGAGCCCTGCCTGTCAACACAATTGCGCTGGCAGGAAGCAGAGTCAACGCTAACCGAACCGCAACTCTCTATCCCTTCGCCCCATATTTCGATGGTGTTTTCGTTCAGCAACGCCCAGTGGAGGCCTTCAAGAGTGGTCGCTTTGCGCGAGTGCCCATTCTCTTCGGGTGAGTTGAAGAAGCAGCATTCAAGTTGTTTTTTTACTAAAAGCATCGCAGCTCTAATACTAACGAGGGTGCCCATTGGTCTTCGGAACTTCCTGACCCGAACGCCAACACATCTAACCCGAACGCCAACCAAAAGACTGTCTTCAACTTTCTCAAAGGGCAATATACGACCTTGTCGGAGACCTCGTTTGAGAAAGCTCTTTCGCAATTCTACCCACTGTCGGACTATGGAGGCTCGTTCAGCTTGCAAGGACAACAGATGTATGGGGAAATGCGCTACATCTGTACCGCAGTCATGATTGCGGGGGCAGCGCATGATTTTGGACTTGAAGCTTACCAGTACCAGTATGTCGAATCTTTTGCTGTGGTTCTCAGTCTCATATTCGTTAGCTGGGATAATCCTACGTTGAGCTCAGACCACGGAGCGGACCTAAATGCATTTTTCAAAGGCACTCAAGTGTTTGACCCTGATGACCAGGCGCTTGTCATTGCCATGCGACAATGGTTTACTTCGTTTGCCGTCTTGCAGAAACCCGTAGCAAACGATGCCATCAAATGGGTTGTGAGTGGTCCAGCAGTACCTCTTCTATAATCTCACTGGCTATAGCGTGCCACTGACGCGACCGGGAGCCCGCGAATTCTTCTTCATCCTGGCGCTGTTGCGCTTGAAAACGTAACAAGCACATTACGTTCGCGTTGCGACTTCTGGCATAGCCTACACAAGGAGATTAGCACGTAGTTGGAAATAAATAAGGAATTTTGTAACTGTACCCGCCTTTCCCTCAATGGCGGTGTCACGTGCCACTGATCAAGATTTGAGGGTCTTGCCACCATCCTCGAGTTCTCCAATCTCTTCAACACCCATGGAGGACAACCCACGACCACATAAGCGCGTGAGGTTAACGCCTCCGGCAGAAGCAGAACAGCTTCGTAGTCCCCAACTCCTTCTGGCTCTTCCGTCCCTCCTACTTCATCCACCAACACATGCAAACCATAAGCACTCTCTATGGCTATCTCTTATGGCCCTCCGTCGATGTCTAGGCCTTCCAAATCCTGGCCAACAGATTGGAAGGGTCAAAAGGGTCCCTTGGGACATTTCGAGTACTCCCCTTGACGAATGTCGAGCCTGGTGTGCCCTTGCGGAAATCGGGGTCAATATACTTGAGGGTGGGTTTGGTGACGAGGACTGGACGGAAGGAATCGAGGGAGAGGTACAGAAGGCGCTAGGCAAAGCTGTGAGTAAGTTTCCACGCGACCATTCGCGTTCTTATCTCTTTATAGTTGGTCATCGCCCAAAAGCATCCAACACTAGCACTGTACCCTCATTATATCACACGGCTCTCCGCTCGAGCGACTCCGCAGCGCGCCAAGCAACTTTTGAAGCCACTCAACAGCAGCGGTCCAGCGGAGGGTACTCCTGCCTATTACTATGCTCATCTCGCATGGGCCGACCACCTTCTCAACGCGCTCTTATACCCCCATGCCTCTGCGAAGCCTACCGCCAGACTGAGCACGCCAATGTCGACTCCCGTGAAACCTGTCGCTCCCGACAAGAACCTGGCCCGAGAATTAACCACTTTACGGGCAGCGATGGGCCCTCTGTTCGGCGCAAAACATCCTAATGTGGTATTGCTGGCGCAAATAATTGAGTTGAGAGCGCTGGTTGCGCTGGGCCGTTGGACGGACGTTCCGGGTGCTTTACAACGTGCCGAGGCTGCTCTGAAGATCTCATTTCCGATCGTGAAACCTCCAGACAATGCCCCTCAGCCCTTGTATGCGACCTCACCCTTCCACGCTGCCGCCGTTGTTCACGTTCTGATTCTCGGTGTTGTTTGGTTTACCTACTCCGCTGCTCAAGCACCGGGTCCAGCAACCCCAGAAGGAGGGTCAACAAATATCAACACTACCCCCGCTGGCGCACGCCTGACACTCCTTTATACGGTTCTCGATGCTGGCGTTTATAACGGGAAATGCCGCGACAACTCTCCTGAAGTAGTGCTGGAAAGCGAAGGTGTCCTCCAGGTATTTACCTCAGAAATGGGCTTAGCAATCGATTTCTGATGAATATAGATTCCTCTTGACAACCAAAACTTACCGCTTTACATCCGAACAACACACCCCCGCGTGTTATATGCGCTTGGCTATCTTATTAGCGCAATTGCTCGACGGGACTTGGTTGGCCGCAAGCCCAAGCGGAAGACGTTCATTTTGGAGGGATTGGGGGTAGTAGAACGGGAGGCAGCGCGAGAATTGAAGATTCATAGATGGGCGAGTGCTGGCGATGTCCGAGCGATTGACCTTCAAATGGCGAAAATCCAGGCAGACCTCAAGTGCGAGCTGATTGCGGTACATATTATTAGCTCACTCTCATTTCGTTATTCTCACGCATCGACAGGTCAACATCATGCGAAGCGAATTCGGGGAAGCGGAGAGGAATCTTAATGAAGTTATTGCTCACGCGCGGACTTTCGGCTTGTTTGAAGGGACGCTTGCCCCGCGTATAACCCTTCTTCATGCACAACTAGCCCACGCTCGGGGTCAAGCTGCTCGTGCTCGCAATTGCTATCGAGTTGCAGGCCAACTAGCGAAGGCGGCAGGAGACGAAGGAGGTTGGGTATCCGCACGAGTGGGAGAGGTTGTTCTGTTGATTGGACTCCAAGCGAGGGCGAAGTTGGACCCCGCGATGCAATTTCCCATGGCGGAGGACGGTCTAGACATTGGAGAGAAAGAGTTGGAAAAGATGGGGCATGATGTTGCCGGCGCTTGTCGCGGGCTGGGCGGCGCCATGCGGGCAGTAGGAGAGGTTATCGAAGGCGTGTTGACGCCCGAAATTCTGACTGCCAAGTACGTCTCTTTTTCCCCTGCTGAAGATATTGGCTCATTGAGGAATAGGCAACACCTGAAGCACGCTTTGGCGTACGCAACGGAACACCAAGACAACCACCTCCGCGCACTCATTCTCGCGTTGATCTCAGCGCATTATCTACACACAGCAGGGGACCAGGCCGGCAAGATGTTGGCGACATGCGAGCAACTCGCGGCCGGACTTGGTGCCCCTCTGAAGAAGGAGGACAACCGGCTGGACACCGCTGGCAATGTGCCTTTGCGGCTCTGGGTGGGCGAGCGATTCTTGGAGCTGCATAAACGGACTGGGAACGCGGAACTTATTGAGAAGCGGCTTGAAGCAAACAACATCCTTCACCAAGCGGCTATCTCACTTTCTCGTCGTTGAAACGGGAATTTTCCTCGCGAACGACATTCTCCTCGTTCATTATCTGGAGTCGAGTCCAAATCGGCTGGGATAGCAACTTGAGTCTAGTTAGCCATCGAAAGCCAAATTCGAAGGAGGTGGATGGAAAACGCGGAGATGTCGCGCTGTGTGTTTTCGAGGAGTGAGAGATATGCTTGTCAATCTGTTAGAATAGGACGTTTGTGAGGATAAACGGTAGTTTTACCTATTTTACCTTGTTCGTAATAATCACGCTGCCAAGCCGCTATACGCAGCAACTATTGAAACACAGGGGACCCTCTTTTCTCTCTCCTCCACCTCTACTCTAACTGTCGCTTCGCCCTACAAAACGCGTTCAGAGATGACGCCAGCTCCCAGGGAAAGCCTGAATCTGAGCCTAGTTAGTTCTTTTCCCCTTTCCGATCAATGACGTTCTGAAGCTGACCTCCACTCGCAGCATAACCACAGGTGTGTGCAACGATTCTGCGACTCTTTAAAGTGAAAAATCCTTGTCCAGGGCGTCAGATAACCTCTCGACAATATCCACTTCCGCTGCTTCGACTGCCCATATGCTCGCCCAACCCCTTGAACCACCAAGACGGCCCTTTCTCGACTCTGGAGGGTCCAATTCAAGTCGGAGCAGCTCTCCGGGGGGTGCATTTGGCGGAAGCACGGTCTCGCTTCATGTAAACTACGTTCCAAGCAAGTTTGCTGCCCCCGCAGTCCGGAACAGGAGGAGCGGTATTTTCAAGCGTGGAGGGGGCATAGACGCGTTTCGAGCGGGCGAGTCGCGTATACCGGGAGCAAACGACGACAGCTATGACGGGGTCGAACTGGGCAGGAAGGGAAAGAAGGGCGCCAAGTGGAATCGGTTCAAGTGGGTGCTTGTGTTCTCCAACTCTGTGGTATGTGACTTCGCGACAACAACATGGGAGCTATCTGATACCCAAAAATAGTACACTTGCCTCGCTTTGGCGTCGCTAATCTTCATGATTACGGCCTGGCTGAATGTGTGGGACAACGCCGATGTTGTTCGCGTTGGAAACCGGCCAGAGCTTATCCTCACCACACTGGCTGCTGCTGTGGCGGTCCTCACCGCAGTCATTGGCTGGGCTGGCATCGTGCTGAACAACCGGGTCAGTCCGCTGTCTCTCTCACGCTCGTTTCGGTCTCACACAAGTTGAAGGGCTTTCTGGCGGTCTACACATTCATGCTGTGGATCGCTTTCGCATTCCTCGTCCTCCCCGGCTATCTCACGTTCAAAAAGCACACCTTCAACCTCGAGGGCAAGGTCAACAAGCAATGGTCAACGGGGCTCGGGGCCGTCGGTCGTCTGCGCATCCAAAACCAGCTAAAATGCTGTGGTTATTTCAGCCCCTACGTCGAAGCGACCCTCAGCCAGACGTGTTACTCCCGCAGCATTCTCCCTGGCTGCAAGAAGAAGTACTGGTTCTTTGAGAAAGACCTCCTCCATCGCTGGTTCGTCGTCATATTCTCATTCGTCCCAGTCAACATCGGCGCCATCCTCGCCGGCCTCCTTTGCTCTAACCACATCACGTACCGCTTCGGGAAAGGTACGCTTGTCCTTAGACTGTCTCTTGTTGTCGTGCTGAAGTTCTTTGTAGGGATGATGCCCAAGGCGTATCGACTGTCGGAAAGGAGTATGGCGGTGATAGCAGGAGCCTATGCACAGTAAGTCGTGTCCTTTACGCGTCTACTCTACTCTCTCAACCTTCTGTCAAGGCAACTCGCAGATCAGTACGGGCCAGACATGGCTGAAGAGGTCATGGCGCGCTCGTATACCAACTTGAATGTGTCGCCTTCCGGGTCAGACAACGGTAAATGAAGTAGAAACGCACTTGTACATTAGGTATCATAGACTTACCACGGACCAATTCATCTTCCATTTTCGCGATACGATTGACAAGCGATTTCAGGGTCTTTTTTGACTTTGCCTTTCCAGTGCGTGTCACTTACGGTTCGCGACAGTCATGCGTAACCAGAATAGCGCTCGAAGAAAGGTCCCGAGGCCCCATATCAGGCAATCATGGACGTACGTGAACGACCCTTAAATTCTAACCCCACCTTCATTCGCCTCTAGTATGTCCATCCGAGTTGTTGTCGACCTCTACTCGACCTATGGGCCTTGGTTCATCTCTCTCCTCCTCGAAACAGTGTGAGCACCACTGGCACTCTGAAGGCTGACCCGTGCCATTCAAGTTCACCAAGTTGCTCAATGCTGACCGTGACTACAGGCTCTATGGGATCGGGCTGCTGCAAACATGGCTGTACTTCCAGTGGTGGAACGACGGCTGGGAGATTCGCGGCGCTGTGCGTCCCTGCTGCCACTTTTCCTTTGTCGTTTGCCGCTAACACGGGTTTTGCAGGTGCTACTTGTGTTGTGCGTTCCACCGCTCCATTCGGGGCCCACAACGCTGAAGCAGCGCCGCCTACAGCTTTTTCGAGACTGTCCAGGTCATATTCTTCTGGGCGTCGAGCTTCGAGCGCTACGTGATGCGCTTTGGGCGGGTTCAACCGGATTTGATGTGGTGAGGCGCTTTCCCCCCATTTGTAGCCAACAGTGGATTGAGTTTGGGGTTCTCCAGGACGGATTCGGTGCGCAGACGTCCTCGTCTACCGTGACGGTCTACGACGCTGATCTGAACCGCGTGTCAGGTCCAACTGTTGGCGAACGTGAGCGACCATGCCGCGTCAGAGAGTATCAGCATCATCTGATCGGATTATTTTCGCAGTATCTCTCCGCCTTTACGGTCCAATTGTTCGTCCACTGGCATCCCTGTGGTATAAACCCTTGCTAACTGCTCATGCAGGTACTTCGCAAGTCGAATCTGGCATCGTTCGTCATCTTCCGGTGTCAACCCAGCAATTGAACTAAATGAACTTGACAGTTACACGTGACGGTGTTCGGTTTCATAGCGTTTCTCGGTGGGGAATCTACTTCATAGTGAGCCACATCGAATCACCCCCATCTTCACCTCATTCGTTGCCAGATATTCCTCGCTTTCACTCAAATGGGTATGGCTTACCTCCGATACAAGCCGTTTGCTGAACTCGGCAGCTGCCGGCACTGTGCAAACCGCCTGGACGTGAGCATCGCCGTCCACCCCCCACGCTCTCTGACCTCGCCGAAGCTACATCATCCGTCACTTCGCTGAACTCGACCGGACAAAAGTGCGCTCGCCGATTCAGCCTCCACTCTGACAACTGGGACTAACCCCACAGGCTACCACCACCCTGCAGACCGCCGCCTCCCTGGTGTGCGACATGTCCATCACGGTCTACCTGTGCATCTTCCTGCGCCGACATCAAAGCGGCATGCCTCGGTGACACCCGGATCACCCGCGCATCATAAATCCTTGATTGATCGTGTCTCTAGCACTCGCCGGCTCCTCAAGGCCGTCATGATCAACGCGGTCAATCGCGGGATGCTCACCTCCCTCACCTCTGCCGGCACGATGATTCTGGTAAGTCTCAGTTGAGCCATGCCTGATTCTATTCTAATTTCTGACACAGTTCGTTGCGTTCCCTAACACCTTCTGGTTCTTCTTGACGTTGGCCCCAAACAGCAAACGTACGTGGCTTCCGCGTCTACTTATCTTTCCAGACCTACGCTTCTCACTGCCGTCAGTCTATATGAATAGCATGCTCGCGACGTCAGTGCTACTATTATCATCATTGATTAGCTAACCGCCATCGTCTCATCAGCCTCAACATGCGTGACCACTTCCGCAAGAAGCTCTTTGGGCCGGCGGGGCATGACCCCGACACAGTCAACCTCCACGACTTCCCGTTTTCTCCTGGCAGTCGCCGCATCTCAGTGACTGTCTCTGCCGTCGAGTTTGTCCATCCACCTCCTGGTTGCGCCATCACTAGTACTGCAACCGTGAGAGCTCTTGCAACAGAGGCTCTTCCACTGACCTCGCAAGCAGGGGCCGACGCTATCAGTGCCGAACAAAACCCAGACGATGTCTTGCCATTCAAGCAGCTCTACGTCTGATAGTGCTATGGAAGTTGCTGTCTAATTGTGCATGTGTGTGTGGATTGATAAGTACGTGCTTGCCGCTGAATCTGTAGCTATAATACTAGTATGAGTACCTCTGAACCCCTGTAACAATACTGCTTGTCCTTCTTGTCCATGTTGGTTAGTCTAATTCAACTCTTGTCTATCCGAATTCGCTTAGTGTCCCGCTCTTCGTCTTCTATCGTCTCGAGTGGAATTCCGAACCCAAACAACAAACTGCCTGTTCCTATATGGATACTAGTGCTGGAATGCGACCGCTTGAGCTCTCTTGACCGACTAGGTGTGGACGGGACGTAATTCATCGGGACAGTAGTGAACTCGTTCGGAGTAAGCGACGCAAGGCTCGCCGTCCGCGAGCGAGGCAGCGAGTTTGATTTCTCTCGTGGGGGTGTCAACGGACCGACGGACTCCAGTGGCCGAGCCGAGACTGGCGGAGTTGCGGGGAGATCTTCCGGAATGGATTGCAAGACAGCACGATAACCCGCTTGAACAAACGCTAGATATCTGTCGATTCATTAGAGTAGTTCGTAAGAGGTTCCAATTCGTACTCGGGTCGTTTGGTGTAGACTGTGAGCTTGACTTCGGCAAATATGGGCGGCATCAGCATGGAGTAGTCGCACTTCTGTGCTGGAGCACATTCTACACCGAGTCAGCGTACAGATCAGCGGAACAAAGACGACTCGACTCTTTGGATGACGCTTGGAGTAGAACCTGACTGAGTCGAGCGGGTTATCCGTCTTCATTCCATAATGCATCACGCAATGATCCACAATGACCGTGTCAGGAGTGAGCAGAGACAAGTCGACGGGATCAGCTTCGCCCGCTTCAATCGCCACCTTAGCCAGCCTCCGTGCTTCCAACGCGACTCTCTCTTGGGTGATGTAGGCCTTGAAGAGCTCCCTTCGCTCCCATTCTACCACCCGCTGGTCGACAAATTTGTAAAGGTCGCGAAGTCGGATTCGACGAAAAATCTGTCGGGCCTCCTCGAGTTCCTGATGATGGCGGTCAGCGGAGAGCTGACCACCAGATATGAGCATTTACTGGGTCGTCGCTGGCCTCAATTCGCGTCATGATGTCGTCCGTCAAATATAAGAACTTTTGGGGGATCTCGATTTGCTCTGCAATCCTCAGAAACGGGTTGGCGGACTTGAGCGCGTCAACGATCATGAATTCGATTGCCCTGGCGGTCTTGTGCGTGTAGACTTGCTTGTGCAGCTTGAAGCGAGTGTGGCAGAGCTCAAAGAGCTCGTTCACGTCTTTGATGTCATAACAAATTTCGTTCTCGATGACCCGAGCGCTCTTGATGAGACGAGATGTGGATATTTTGGTCGGTTCACCAATCATGTAGGTGTCTCGAGCGATGTAGTCAAACCTGTGATCGTTAGAGAACTCTCTCTCACGGAAGACAAACGCACTTGTCAACGTCGAGGCCGTTGCGAGTGTTTGCGACGATGTCAAACAAGAATTGCTTCTCTCGGGGGCTGGTGGGAATGTCAGTGGACTGTGACTGAAGGAGAGTAGTCGCCCAAATACCTGCACTGGGAACGGTCGCCAACAATTAAGGCAAGAATGAATTCAATGTCTTCTCGAGGTAGCTGAATGCTGTTGTTTGCGACCAAAGCTTCAAACATCATCTTGCTCGCGTCTTCGTGCTTCCACGACTTGCCCGGCCTGGCGGAATATAAGCATAAAGCGCAAAATGGAGGAGGCCGGGACTCACAATACTGCCGGAATGAACAAATTGTCAAAGACGTGGCTCCAAGGACCATGGCCAAGATCGTGGCAGAGGCCCGCTATTTCCACGCAATTCACATCCCTCGTGTCGATTCCGAGTGACGACTGCTGTCTCTGGAGGTGTTCGACCATCGAACGCGCTAAATGAGCGACACCTTCAACAAAAGTCAATCTCTGAGCTGACTCGAAGCGCGTTGTTGCACACCCAAGCAGTGCTCAAATCTGTTGTGGGAGGCCCCAGACCAGACATAGTAGGACGTGCCCAGCTGCTTGACGTTTCGCAGCCGCTGGAATTCTGGGCTAGGGCGATGGTCAACGCTTGAAAAAGCTTCATGGTCGAGGCGTACGTGTCAATTATGGAACTGATTAATGGGGATATAGCAACTAGGCGATTGATTGAGAGGATTTGCGGTCAAGAACTCGACAGAACCCAACTATAGTCATGGATCTGATCCTTGATTTGGCGACCAGGCTCAGGCTCCTCTTCGTATTCCATGGCTGGCTGGAGGATCCTCGTGGTTTGAGATGAAAGGAGAGAAAGCGGTGCAGCGATTACATCAGCCGACCGATTAGATAGACCCAAACTGATTACCTACCAACGTTACTTTACAACTATATTACAACAGTGGCTACCATATACGATACTACCAGGCGATACAAGCCAACGACGACTTGGGGTGTTTCCTATTCCACCATTTGCGCGTTTCATCCAAGAACAGCAGCACAACGCCATATCTGCGTCAAATCAGCCAGCGCGTAGAAGAAGACAGGCAAAGGAGACGTACGCCATTGGCAGGAAGAAGTATTGGGCGGCGATGCCGCGAGTCAGAAACACTCTTTGGAACCAGGGAACATATGAGAAGAAACTAGACAGGTTACTGTCAGGCTTCGCGAGGGAAGAATGGACTCGAGTCACCAAGCTAGCAGGAGTGCGGCCAGCATGGCAGGAAAGAGGAGTAAGTTTCGAGTGGCGGGCGAGCCCATTGGGTTCTGTTGGAAAATCGACAAGCGACGCGTCCGGGTTGAAAGCAAATTGAACCACTGCATGATGACCAGGTTGAAAAAGTCTATAAATACTCATGAGAAGAGACAACTCTGGACATCAAAGTGTCCTTACACAAGGACTGCGCTTGAGCAGTTTGTTCGGAGATGAGGTCAGGGTCAACATTGTAGCCACCATACTTCCGAAACATCGCAGAGAATGGCACACCGTTCTGCTGGAAGCCGAAATAGAACGCACTGTCAAGCATTTTCAGTCGATGATCATCAAACAGTATGAACCACTGACGCGGTCATTGAAGTGAGTGATTCAAGAACCCCGATAAACAAGTACGCATGCAGAAGCAGCCTGAGAAAAGTTTAGGTGAAAGACATTTGACAAGGGTAGGAATAAACTTGATATCGGCCAAACGGTCCTTTTTTCGATCGCGAGGCTTACGAAGAAGAAGGTCCGCCTCAGGCTGCTCGTAAACCAGCGAAAGTGCGGGGAGAACGTCGGTGACAACGCAAATCTGTGCCAATATCAATCGTGTGCTCAGAGAAAATGACAAAGTATGGCGGTTACAATGATCATCTGGATGCTGCTCAGAGCCTGGGGCACTCCCGCGAGAACATTGAGCAACACAGGCATCAGTTCCGAGAAGCTTCCAGCCGGAAGAAGATATAGGATCGACTTGCGCAAGTTCTCAAAGCAAAGGCGGCCGTATTTGATTCCCGTCAACATTGTGGAGAAACTGTCGGACAATAGGATGAGATCGGCAGCTTCCTGGCCAATTTTTTATTATTAAGCACAGTTCAAAAACAGTTAATCTCGCTCACCATTGCAACTTCTGAGCCGGTGGCCATCGCCACACCAACATCAGCCTGTTTGAGAGCCGGGGCATCATTCACTAACGGAACGTCTGAGTAAAAGACACAAGACACTGGAGCAACGGTACCTCCATCTCCTGTGACAGCGACTGTACATCCTCCTGCCTGGAAAGTACGGACAATTTGGAGTTTCTGTTGCGGCGTCGTTCTCGCAAAGACAATCTCATCGAACTAAAAGGTCGTCAGTTCAGTGATATCGCTCTCAGGGAGAACCCCACCGTCAACACCTGTTTCCACTGTGATTCGGTCATTGTCATCATTTCTGCACCACTGAGAACGATGCTAGAGAGAACGGCATCTTCAGCCTTGTCATCATCAAAGTCGGGGATGGTGGCGAGCGGAACATCGCGATCAAGGTCTGAAAGCCCTTTGATGTCGGCTTCCGGAGTCGTAATAATGCCAACTTGACGTGCAATCGCAGCAGCAGTAAGAGAAAAGTCGCCTATTCTCGAGTTAATGCCATGAGGTATTACTGAACAATACATACCGGTGACCATAGCGAATCGAATACCAGCCCGTCTACAAACCCGGACGGTCTCGGCTGTGTCAGGCCGGGGAGGGTCCACTAACGCCACCAAGCCAACAATTGTTAAGTCGACATTGGCGGCCATCAGAAGGTTTTCGAGATCGCTGTTGCTCTCCTGCAACGTTTCGTAGGCCAACGACTTCTTGGCGAGCATGAGTACTCGTTGACCTTGAGCGGCAAATGATTCTTGAATAGTGGAAATCTTGGCGATAGCGTTGTCGTCCAAAGGGAAAGTAAGACCATCGGAATTGACATATGCATTGCAGCGACGGATGAGCACGTCAGGAGCCTATCATATCCTAGTCAGAAGAATGAGAGGGCAGCGAGAAAGAAAAACGCACTCCTTTGACTGCAAGCATATGATGACCAGGAAGAATTGACCGAAAGTGTGCATCTGGGGCTGCACTTCGAGAGAAGAGTTTCAAAGCAAACTTGTTCTCTGAAGTCGACTTAAGCCGACAGCCACGCAGAAGATTTTCAGTGACTCACTGGAATTAAACGCAATCTTTCCGACCTCTTTCCAGCTCGCACGCGAGTCCTCAGTTGAAGAAATACTCTCCGAGAAGCGTAATAATCCCGCGTCTGCCACAAGCACGGAGTCAGCCAAGTCGGATGGAATAAGTGAAAAACTAACCTGTGGCGTCACCGTTGACCTTACGATCCTGCAGGGCTTCTTCAATTTTTGATAGTGCGAAGACAGCATCATTACAGAGGCTCGCAAGAGCCACAAGTTCCCGCAAAGCCACCGCTGGCGCGTCGTCATTCGCTTCAGGGTGCGATAACTTGACTCTGACGTCCGCAACTTTATATGTTGCTTCGCCAACAGCGACATTAACCACTGTCATCCTATTCTGCGTAAGAGTGCCGGTTTTATCGGAGGCAATGAAGTTGACAGAGCCGAGAGACTCGACAGTGGCGAGGGATTTGCAAAGAATGGAGCTGGACCGCATAGCGCCAGCGCTGGATTTAAACAATTAGAAGACCGAAATCGCGAAAGGTCAAGACATACATGACAGTCAATGAAAGTGTAACGCAAACAGGAAGTCCCTCTGGAGACCAATAAGCATTTGTCAAGGAGTTCATAGAATCACTTGCCAGGAATAAACGCAACGGCTACGGAAACACAGTCGATAAGGAGAGTGGGCACATTGATGAAGCCAGGGTAATCACGACGGAGCCAGGCGGCCCATAAAACTAAGAGCGAACTTGCGTCAGCAGTAAAATATTGGGGTCGAGGGACCGCACTCACTAACAATAATGATAGCCACCGTCAATGCCAAAGACGCGATGATAAGAACAAAACGAATGATCTCCGCTTCGAGAGTCGTCCTAACAGGGCGTTCGCTTCCTGCTTGTTTGGTGATGCGACCGAAGACCGTATTGTCACCGAGAGCGACAGCAACACCTATTCCACTTCCACTAGTGCAGAGGGTACCTTGCAGCGCAATGTTACGAGACTCGAGGACTGATCCGACGTTTAGCGAAAGGGAAAGAACGGAGAACGAGAGCAACTGACAATTGTGATCGGTGCAGTCAACAGAGCCAGCGATTTCATTACTCTCGCCCGTGAGGATGGATCGATCAAAGCGAAGGTCAGGAGAGACTTGGACAAGGCGAAGGTCAGCAGGAACCTTGGAGCCGAGAGTAATCGTGACAATATCTCCAGAAACGAGGTCAGCCGCTGGTAACCTGAGTTGGTGTTATGTGGGGCAAAACATGAAGTAAACAGCACCAACTTGAATTTTTCTCCGTTACGCATAACCAGTATTTCAGTTGGTAGCAGTCCTGCGATTGAGGCCATCACATTGCTCGTAGACCAATCTGAAGGGAAAATATGGTTTAATCATGGAGTTCCCAACAAGAAGAAGATAGACACCTTGCCATGCATTAAAAACTGCCTGGATGACGATCACAATGAGTAGCACGACCGCAAGGGCCAAGTTTGGTGCAAAGGGGTGGGGATCTCCCAGTGGTCGCCTAACAGCAAGATGAGTTTGTGTTACGATTACTGCCAAGAAAACAAACCATGCGATGAAGCAGATGATGCTTGCAAGGAAAAGCAGACTACCGAAGCCTACACAAGTCGTGAGTACGTGGGTGAATGTCTATCTATGCACTTGCCTCCGAAAATGTAGAAGAAGATTTTGCGAGCAAGGTTTCTTGGTGGGCGCGATATGACATTCTTTCCGTTCGTAGCAAGTCGACGAGCAGCAATAGGTGCATCAAGGCCAACGGCAACCGAAACCCCAAGACGGTTGCAAACATCTTGGGTCGATAATGTGTGCCAGGTAACCTCAGCAAGCTCTAAAACAGGTGGGGGGATTGAGGAACTGTGGTGTCTAGAACAGCGAGAACACACCTTTTACCGCGCCTTGTCTGGCACCTTCTTTGGCTTCTTGGGTTTCCGTTACATGGATGCTGGGAGAAATTTGAGCAAGCTAAGTCGTCAGATTTGCTGCGTGTATTCACCTGAGAGTGCGGAAGTCAACAGGGATTCTCGTGCGGGGATCACCCGAGGTCGAGCCAAATGTTGGCGCTCGATGGAACTCGCGGGCAAGCGATAGGGCTGGGTCTGGCGTGTCGAGTGAGGGTGACACTGTCAACGCTGATATGGACGCCTCTATATCCTTGGGCTCCATGAGTTCTGGGTGGACGAAAAAAAGACAAGGAGACCGTACTTAAATTCAGCGCGTCATACCTGATCGTGCGGGATTTCTGCCGTCTGACTCTGGGTCAAGGAGGCGAGGAGATAACGCGGTTGGCTGGCAGAACTTGCTCAGTCTGCTGATGGAGATGGACAGAAAGCGAGTCGAGTGGTTACTCTCGTCAGATGCGGAAAGCAAGACGCGACAATTTCAGCTTGGGTCTCCAACTGGATGACTACAAGGAATAGTTTGAGGATGTTCTTTAACACGTTATTGGAAAGCCACACCTTGAAGATGAAAATTGCTGGTGTCCTCGATGTCCTGTACGCTTCATGGTCTTGGAAAAGACTGAAAAAGAATGATGATGTAGTGTCACAGCGTGACGGATGACATGAAACATCACTTGTCCCAAAAGTCCTTGACGCCAGCTCATTATAAAAGTAACAAGAGTGAGACGCCTATATGTGCGTTGTACCATTTTCCCTATAAGAATCCTACATAGCCAGAATATTCTTCCAAAAGACAAATCCTGCTTCCGGTTTCTCATTGTCAACACCTGATCTGGGATTATATTCTGAGGTTGGCATAGGTCTGCGTATACGTGTTAATGATAATTGCAGTCCGTTTTCCAGCTCTACCGCTAGTTCGGCAGAGAAGTCTATGCTCTCGTCCCGCACAATGGTGAAGTTGGCATGAACAAGAGCGGTCATCGAGCTGTCTTGTGCCGGGTTACACCGGTGACGAAGGAAATCCACGATGGTGCGATCGGGGCATGCAGAGATCGGATAGAAACGGAAGCGTTGAAGCTGTGGGCAGAGAGGTGTTGACAGCATAAAGTGGCGCAGGAACTCTCCATCGCGTCGTGGTCCGATGAAATCTGTTTGTGGGTTGTAACTTGCATCGTATGGCTCTCCACCAATGGATAGTTCTTCAAGGCTCGGAAGTGCTACAAGGCCTCGAACCAGATCATCTGACTTCATTGCATTCTCCTTAAGATGCAGGGCTGTGATTGTTCTAAGGTGAAGCCACGTGAGATCGGTGGTGTGACCCAAAACCCCGACAGCATAGAGCTGAGGGAAGTACTGTACTATTTAGACCTTAAGTTCAGCCGGTCTTACGCATTACGCGCTGAACTTACAGGGTTAGAAGTTCAGAGGGTCATCTTACACATTACGGATTTGCAGAAGTTCAGTTCAGTCCTCGGGCCAAGTTTGCCGAAGGTTGCGAGGGGGGGAACTAAGCATTTAATGGGGGTATTCTGGAGATTTTCACTACTAGCATCTTTGATTGCAGATCTAGTAGCCATACGCGAATCAATGAATAAAATTTTCTGCAGTCCCTACCTTGCCCCCACCTCCACGCCGACCATGTCTGACTTGTCTGACTCCGAAGGCGAATCCAGCCAGCATGACATCGAAACCTTTCGTGGATGTGGCAAGACCATGAAGGAAGTGCTGCGACGCGTCCGTCGCGCTGCCAAGGAAGCCTTCTCCATCCCCCTACCCACTGCCACCAATATACTTCCCGCACCTACTCTTCCCATTCCCGAATTCCCTACGGTTCCCACTCCCACTAATCACCCCCATCGCCACGGAAAAGAAGCCTACCGACTTCTTCAGCCAGTACGAGCCGGACACTTTGGACAGCGGCACACTCCTGCGAATGCGTCATCTGCCAGTGCCCAACGAGAAGCTAGCTCGGCAGATCTTGGAATACAGTCGAGAGGCGTGGCTCGATGGGAATCGTTCTATGGTTTATGCCCATTTGGACGGGACTGCAAAACGCTTTCCGATGTGGGTTATAACATTCTGGATAGAAGTCATTGAGGCGAGGAAGGTGCGGGCTCGTTGGCTAAAGTCGTCCGACTTTATCAAAAGCGAGCGAGAACGGGCAGAACGGAGTGCCCGTGCAGACAGATCTTCTCGAGTCGAGCTTCTCGAGGAGGCAAAACAGTTGATTTCGATGATTCCGTGGTCAGCTGCGAAGCCAGCAGGCTTGTCGGATACGGAGCCTTTTCACAAGCTCTCTCGTCTTGTGGGACCCGCTTGGCTGTCCGATTCGCAGATCAACGATCTGTTGGAGTTGCTGCGGCAGAAGATTGAGGATGAGGTCGACGGAGATGTTGGCGCTCGGTTTCGGGTGAAGAGTACGGCATTCATGGAGACGCTGTTGAGAGCGTACGAGAAGGGCAGCGACAAATACAACTCAGACAGTGGATTTCGTTGGCTAAGGGAGATTGGAGACGAGTTGGCAGAGGACAACGGGACGCTGCTCACGATTGCACATCTGGGCAAAATCGAAAACAATCCGCACTGGATATCGCTCGCCATCGAGTTCTCCAACGAGCGAGTGCGAGTCTTATATGGGGACTCGTTCAAGCAACCTATACCGGCAAAGCTGCGAGAGATTTGTGAGTGGTGGGTGCTGCTGCATTCGGGACGGGACGTACAAGTCGAGAGCTTACCCATTGGCCATCAAGACGATGGATTCTCTTGCGGGCCGCTAGCTATCAACGCCCTACAGCATTATGTTGACCCAGCGGTGTCGTTGACGAAGGTTGGAGAGAAGTGGATCGTAGCGAGGCTGCAGGCTTTCAATGCAGTCGCAAGGTGGACTTTGGAAAGGGTGAGAGGATTTGAATGTCGTTTTTGCCATGCTAACAAGTCCTTTAGCTTCAAGCAGACCAGTTCGAGGCGGAGATGGATGCAGAAGAAGAGCGTGAGAGTCACTCGGGTCACGGTCCGGCTCTTGACGACGACGATGACGATGGCCACTTACCCAGCTTTGGCCGACGTGAGGACGGCTCTTCCCATGCCTTCACCTTTTCCCTCGACAACCAGATCTCGCCTGAGCCCATCCGTTCGAGTTTGAAACGCCCCAAATGGCATGACAATGCACCCACACCAAACGCGACACCTGAACGGCGTCGAATCTACAAAGACGACAGGGACCAGCTTGACGACAAGGAGGACATACCGGCGCCTCAACTCCTCTTTACGCAGGACTCGCCTTCGTCTACCAACAAGACGGCGGACGTTTTTGGGAGTACGTCACTCTCCGATGTCGATTTGCTCTCCCTTCCATCTTCCCCAAACTCTCTCTCTTTCGACCCCATGCCTCGACCCATTGCTCCCCTTCCTCGACGATCATCCCCAGTACCAACGACCAACGCTGAACTGCCGAAGCAGAAGACGAATTCCATCTTGTCCTATTTCAGCAAGGAAACACCAGCGGAGAAGGAAGTTCGTCTTGAGCGCGAGCATCGTGAATATGCGGAGAAGTCAGAACGAAAGAAAGGGGAGATACAAAATCGAGAGCGGGTTGTGCTTGAGGAAAAGCGGGCAAAGAATGCAGCGTACATGAAGGCTTATCGTGCTAAGCTTCGAAACGAGCGAATTGCAAGGGGAGATATACCAAAACGTGGACGGAAACGGGTATGTGCTGGTGATTTCAACGTGCTTTCGTTCTCACTTCAGAACAGAAGTCAACTGAGGCCGATCTTGAGGACAACGGGGTAGACGAGCCCAACAAACGATTGGCCGAACACTCTCGACCCTTCCGCCAATTGGCTCGGGCAACACTGCTTTCCGTTGCTCTGAAAGCTTTGTTCGCCGTTACCTTCGAGAGGAGCTGGGATGGAGCGAGCGACGAGCGACGAAAGCAGCGCAAAAGCTACCCGACAACCACGAAGCGATTCTCGAGCAAGCCTTTCTGCGAGAGGCTTGGCTCATTCGACAATACAACATTCCAGCTGCGTTGCGAGTCAACACCGACCAAACCCAGGTCATCTACGCCCAGGGAAATGCGTCAACATGGAATACCCGTGGAGCAAAGCAGGTTGCTGCTGTAGGGCTCGAAGAGAAGCGTGCTTTCACGCTTGTTCCATCCGTCGCTGCAAATGGGAACGTTCTCGCGGCCCAGGTTATCTACGGTGGGAAGACCAAGCTATCAGCACCATCGGTCTTCTCCCGTGGGTATGCAGAAGCGACCCGTGCTGGTCATGTTTTCACCAATTCCGGCAACGACTCGTATTGGTCCAACCATGAGACCATGCACGCCCTCGTCGATAATATCATCGCTCCGTACTTCGAGCGCCAAAAGGCCGAGCACAATCTCCCTTCTTCCCAAGTCTCAATCTGGAAGATTGACTGCTGGTCAGTGCATCGCTCAGCGGATTTCATCAGCTGGATGCGCTCCAACCACCCGACGATTGCGCTTGTTTTCGTGCCTGGTGGATGTACAGGCATCTGGCAGCCACTCGACGTTGGGATTCAGCGCCCATTGAAGCTGAGCATTAAGCGCTCAGCCCATCGGGATGTGGTTGATGAGGCTCTTCGCCAGCTCGCGTCTAATGCTTCTCCTGCGAAGGTCAAGCTTGACACCACAGTTGGAAACCTGCGGAATCGGTCGGTTCAGTGGGTTCTTCAGGCCGTGAAGGATATCTCGCAGGTGGAACTCGTCAAGAAGGTGTGAATTCCATCCACTTGTTCTTTACATCTTTGTAAGGGCAACCCCGGAGGCCTGAGATCAAGGTCCTAGCAGGGGAGGATCCAAAGCGTGAACATTGGTAAGCGAATACAAATGAAGCTGACCTAGCAGGGGAGGATCCAAAGAGAAGAAACTCTAAGGGTCCGCCTGCTAGGTAGCTGACTATATACTGCTTGTCCGTAGCTGCCGCTGTCGGGCACAGAAGGCTTGGGCGGCGTCGCAGGCGAGGTCCCAGGGCGACCGTCGGGGGGCGTTGACGGATCGGTGATTGTGCGGGCGAGATGGAGGGCCGGACCGGAGACGGAACCGGAGTCGGACCGGAATCGGAGGCGTCTCCGAGGGGCCGAAAGGGGAGGTTCCCCTGACATCACCCCCCTTTGAATGCGGCGTCCCGACGCATAGACCGGAACGGAATCGAGTCGAAGGTCGCGGAGGCGATGTGTCGTGGCTTGCCAGGGTACTTACGATAGAACTCCGCAATTTTCTCCGGGGCGAAGACGCGGTCG